AGTGCCAGTTTTTGGCCACTTTTCGGATGATTTCAACTGGAAGTACAAGAATTTGTCTAAACAAAAGAATGCTTCAATGAATTTTTGGGATTTATGTTTTAAATAATTGTGAATTTCTGCCATTATTTAAGCCAGGGGACTTGGGAAAAACTTTAGGGTGATTTATGCTAGTCTGTAAACTTGTGTAGATTAAAGGAAAAATTCGTTAAGAAATATATTCTTATACTTAGGGCGATTTACATATAAATTTAAAACCAAGACTAGATGAAGAAATTTTAAGAGAACCATATGACTACTGTAATGTACTTAAAAGAGTCTTTAAGATATTTTCTTGTAGTGATTTTAAAAGACCTTTTCCCCGAACTCTTCTTAATATTTTTGTTATTAATTGACTAATGTCTAAACAAATCCTGCAAACCATTAAACACACTCTAAACACATTTGCGATTGTGATATTTAAAACCTTTTGACCTCTGACGTTCTAAACAAAGGATTGTGTTAGTGGCTCCTTTTTATTTGGCATCTTTGAATAAATTCCCGAGTCCTGTGTCTTTGTTCTGTGTGTGTTGGCATAAATTGAGGACTGTTTAATCTTTTGCGGCTGTCCCCCATTCAGTTAAGCGAACGAATGTGACAATTCGGGCGAATGTCCTTTTTACTATTTGCACAGGCCCAAGGAGATCAGGAGGGATGGGACTCACAGATTCGTGACTCTGGCCGAGTTGAGTGGCCCAACAGCACATGCCACTTGTCCCCCTTGGTTGGGTATCCGTTTATTTTACGCCCTCTAAACTTGGTTTATTCTTCCGCCAGCCATCAACGTCAGCCATTTCGAGTGGGGATAATGGCAATCCTTCGATTGGAACCCCCATCCATGCAAGCATATATACATAAGTGTAAGAGAACACTTAATTTGAATACCTAACCTTGGCAGCTTGGCGGGATCTGGTTGCAAGGCCCAATTGTCGAGATCTCGGGTTGCCAAGTTAATTAAATTTCAGCACAGCCACACGAGGCGTATGCTTAATGTCGCCCCAAAATGTCAGGTGGTGGAGAGCAGCTCCTCCTCTTCTGTTTGCATTAATGATGGAGCCGGAGCCGGAGCTTAGTGATGGTGTCGAATTTTTGAAGTTTGCCTCCTGCTTCCTCGGCAATTAGCTGGAGAAAATCACAGCTAGTGCCGAATCCCGAAGCTCTAGGATTACACTCGGTTGCCTTGCCAGGACGGCGGCGTGGGAGGATGGCTCTTGTGGCATTTGTCAACCGCCAACTGTGATTGCCCTCGAAAGAAGCTTAAAGTCAGGCTCTCCTGGGGTCCAGCTCGAGCTCTGGCCAGTGTCCGGCCACTCGACCGTTGGCCATAAAGTTGTAAATGCTTAAAATAGACTCACATCCGAGGTTAAGTGTGCGGGAGGGGAATGCCCGATAATAATGCCAGGCAGGGTTAGGGAGTGGCCAAGAGAGGCTTTGGGGCTTAGGGGACTCGCAAGGAGAGGAGGCTGCAGGTCCTGGCACGCTTGTATAATTCCAACTTAATATAAATCAGCAGGTGGTGATTTTCGGCCTGGCCTTTGGCTTTTGGGTTGCCCGGGCCATAAACTGTGAATAGTAAAATACATATTTCTAGGGAATATTTAGATCTAGGCAGCTGCTTTTAGAAATATCCCTGGCATAACATATATATACATACATATATGTATGAGTTTGGTTTAATTTATATCTTATATCAATCAACATAAATCATTGGACACATTTAGGTGTGAATTTGGATTATTGATTACCGCTTTTGATTCGTGATTGATTGTTGCTCTCGGCGGACTGACAATGAGATTTATTCCCAAGTACGTCATTTTTCTTGGTTGCACTTGACTTTATATAGTTACTTTAATTTATTTGCTGGGAGTTCTAGAACTTGCTTTGATTTAATATAAGATAGTTTTAAGGCAAACAAACTTAAATGTAATGTTTCTATTGCTGATTCCTTAATACTTTTAAACATACCAATCTCTTTAAGCCCCATTATATAAATATTTACTGCCATTACTCAGTTTTCCTGTCGCTTGATAAATGTGCAATTATCTACTTATTAACTCCGATTAAATCTTTATTGAACAGCTTAAAATACCGAGTAGCCCATAATTCAGTTTAATTAAGCCAGCATCCTTTAGGAACCGCTTGACAACAGTAGATCCTTGTGTGTTTACCCATTCGATCGGCTTTTTATGATTATTATTTGTATCGCATTTAGGCATTTAAAATGCAGGAGGCCTCGGGAGCTAGACGATGCCGTCTCAGCGTCGCCAAGGAAGGCCTCCTCCCGGCTACAGGGAAACGCCCACAAGGATAAACATATGTACATGCGTGTCCTTACAGGGAGGTGGGACCGTAAAGGAAACGTAGAGGATGTAGAAAAAACGACCCAAAAGTGCCCTCTTGCTAATTGAGTGCCAATTTTTATGCCCCTAATATGTGTGCGAGTGTAGATTAGCACTATATGTATGCCTGGCAATTTACGATTAGTAGGAGCAGGGACAGGGGAAGGGACAGGGACAGGGGCTCTTCGTCACGCCGATTTTCCTCCTCGCATTTTCCCTGCTTTTCACACATGAAATGCCGTTAAGCCGCCGTGCTTTGCACCTTGAGGACTTCTGTGTGTTTACATTTGCCTCTCTCCTGCTCTCTCCCTCTCGGTGAAATCGTTTTATTTATTTACCACGCCAATGCTTCTTCATTTCTCACCTACCAAAAGACCCCCCAAAAGACCCCCCAAAAACACCCCAAAACACCCCAAAAAGCCCCCCTATAACCGCCCCTCATATGTTTTATAAGGCCTTTATTATTGTTATTGCCATTGCCATGTTTGCGTTTGCCTGTTTGTTTTTATTTGCGTGTTACGGTGTTATTGTACTTCTCATTACGACTCGGCATTTGTTTTTGTGTGGTTTTCAAGTGTCAAGGCGCTAGTCTCTAACTTAAATTAATATTAATGGCAGTTTAGCCAAGAAGGGCTGAATTAAATGTACATCTTATGGCTGTTTAATTGGCCAAAAGAAACTACAAAAGAGTCATTGAGGAAAAAAGTGACATAAGCAAACCAATATTTATTTACACAAGCTTTAACTTGACTTTAATAGTGCATAATAAGCATTGAATTATTTAAATACCTAATTAGTCCCATTAAAGCTCTGACAAATCAATATTTAGCTTAAACATATTGCAAATTAATGCACCTTCGACGAATTAACCGCTAGCAATCGTTATGGACGAATGCATTAATTGCTATAGATTTTGATTAGTCAACCTGCTAATTAGACCACAATTTGGTCTGCCAAATAATTGCAATTGCAAACGTAACCAAAATTAAATTTCCGCCAGACTAAATTTATAAAAATAACACAACACACACAAAAAGATGAGCTTGAAATTCGAAACCTCAGAAAGCGCAGCAACCAAGAGAGGGAAAAAAGGACAAAAATAAAGTCAAGATGCCGCGGAAAGGACAACGACGAGCAGCACAGAAGCAGAAGGAGCTGCTACAAACACTTTGGACAGTTAATAAAGCCGGGATAAGCACTCGACTTGGCTTGATGACAACTTGACGTGGTCGCTGAAATGCCGCATGAGTACCCCGAAGCCGGTTTATTAAAAATGAGCCACCGCGTATAAACAGAAATAGAGAAATTTGTATACATATATATATAAATGTATACAACAAGAATAAGTAGAGCTGCCAGGCGAGAGATAACGCCTGTCACCAGGACTCCCGACATGCAAAAGGAGTCGCAGGGAAATCCTCGGCACGTAGCTCGAAGCCCGCCGACGCGCCCGACATTTTCATGAGTTAATTTAATTTCTGTATCTGTCGAAACTGTCGAATGCCGAAATGCCGAAAGTCCCACGCAAAAAGCCTTCTTCTGAAAATAATGACGCCAATGTGCGTCCGATTTAAGCTGATTGACTTGATGGCACATTTCATCGGCACTTACGGCCGCAAAATCATCATCGGAATGGCCGGAAATTGATTCAGGAAACGAAGAGATGAAAGTGAAGATGAAGATGAAGACCATGTGGCATTATGAGCAGGCATAAATGGGTGGCTTGAACTTTGAGGTCAGTCATTATGGCATTGGACTTGCATAACTTAAAAGTAAACGTACCTTTATTAAGAGTAGGACAAATATAAATATAATTATAAATAGTTTCCATAATTAGCCACACAAGATAAGAAAATAAATAAATCCGTACACATTTCTCGAGAAATGTTTACTAAATTAGAATAAAACCCGCTCCGAAAATGTTAAAAAATTCAACAGCACACAAAGGACGAGTCCCCAAAACACGTTCCATATCTCGATTAAAGATCAATCTAAGCCTGACATATTTCAAAGGGTTGGTTTCCCCACTCAAAAACCATCCAAAATGGTTTTTTAATACTGCAGGCAACTCCCACTCTTGTTTTCCTGCCCAAAAAGCGCAAGATTCGAACCCAAAATCCGGCTCGAAAATGGCGCAGCAATTTGTTTGAAGTGAACGAGATTAAGTTGTGACTCCGATTTCACCTTTTTGTGCCTCCGGCCAAACCAATTAATCTCCCCGAATGTCCCAGGCAGAGCCCACGTCGAACCGCAGGGAGTCGCTTTTCCTTTTTTCCGGGCTTTCCCCCTTCTGTCTCTTCTCAGGTCACGACCGGCCAGCTTTGTTGTTGATGTCTTCGCATGGAGACAAAGTTTTTCCCTTGGTGCCATGCCATGGACTCCTTAAAGTTGTCCACAAGCCGCCACAGATGGATGGTCTCTAAGTAATTTAATTTCCCATAAATTTCCATGACTTGTTCACGCTGCGGGTTTTCGGGTGTCCGAGGCTCGTGTGGTGGCTTTGAGTGACTTTTCCAGGCGGAAAATGGCACAGCGATACAGCGACAGATGGAAACAAAGTTTTCTAACGCACAATTTACATTTATTTTCAGCTAGTTTGATGGCACATAAAAATGTATTTACAAAGTTTCTTTAGTGATTAGCTATAAAAGTGGAGTTTTTTATTTTCCATGTATCCTTTTTCTAATAAAAATATTTCATTTTATACGCATTAAGGTGTTTAGCTTAAAGCCGTGCCACGGCTGCAATACTTTAGTTTGGAACAGACACAGTTTACATTTAGGCTTAAGTTTTAGGACCTAAGAAACATTTAATTTTTATTTACATTCCATAAAGGTTTACTAACATCTGCTCGTTGGTTTTTAGCACAAAATAATAATATTTTAGGGGATGTTTGGATCTTTCCAATGAATAATATAAATATTTTTAAGAATAGGAGGTTTTTACCTTTACTGAGTTTATATTATTCAAAAGCTAGCAAAAAGTTGGCTTTAAATTCTGAATAAATTCTCAATTTAAAAAATCTCCGAAGCTTTAACTACATTTTGATCTTGAAAGAGTGTCTGTCTGTCTCACTGCCCGACTTCCTGTAAACTCCGTTTAAGTCCCGCGTTTTGGTCCTGTAATTTCAATTCAACAAGGACTCCTGAAACTTGGGTGGGTGCGAACGATGGTGCTGCTGACCAAACTCGTTGAGAGTCGCAAATTCATATCCCGGAGGCGGTACCTCATTGTGTCCCGCGGACGGGACCATGGGCATGGCCAATGGAGCCAGGTCTACGGCCGAGATGGAGGCACCATTCTGATTCCCGCCGTTCGGCAGCACGGTTATCGTTGTCTCCTGCAGGCGACAGCTGTCCATTGTGATGGGAATTCCGGATATTTTTCAGGATCTACTATACGGGAGGAACAAGGCCCTTGGCACTTGGCACTTGGCACTACTCACCTGCGGATGGTGCTCTGGTAGCAGGAGTGACGCGACTGGAAGCGCTTCGAGGCGGTGCTGGTCAGCGAGGTGTCCCGGTGCATGCAGAAGGTGTCGTGCTGGCCGCGCTTCTTGCGCCTTCCACTGGCTCCACGGCAGAACAGATATCTGCCGGAGGAAGGATGAGTTTTGGAAGAGTGGCGGGATATTTGGGGGAGAGCGGTGGGGAGGAGCACATTCGCGTTTCATAAAGAATATTTCATAAAATTCCCTTGTCTATGTGTGTTCTTGTGATGTTTATGCACGTACACAGAGGAAAAATAGCAGTCAATTTTAAACGAATTTTTAAGCAATGGAAAATGAAGTTGTTCTTATTATTTTCATTATTATTTTCAAGATATTAAAATGCTTCAATTAACTGCATACTTTCATATAGCTTTATAATTTAACGTACTTGACTTCTTTATTCACTTTATTTAAACAAATTATAATATATTTAATATACCTTCGCCATATTTTTTCTCTGTGCCGTTGTGATTGTGTACCATTTTGTGAGCTCATGCGGGAGCAACAAACAATTCCAGATTGCAATTTGAGAGCAGAGATGCTCCTCATATCGAAAGGGAAGCTGTGCACTTGGTCATTGTGTGCGATTCAATGAAAGTTGAGAGAAATGTTACGGAAAATCAAACATAGAAATAGAGAAAGTAGGGGATGCACCATACAAATCACTGTTTCCAAATTTAGTTTAAAAAATAATTGAATTAAAGCTGAAATACTGCATTTATTTCCTCACTCATTAATTATGCAGTGGTTTCATCAACTCAACCCCCGGTGACCATAAATCATATTTTTTGTCAAGTGACAACCATTGAAATATTTAAATAAATAAATTCGATACAAAAAGGAGACTTTAAAGAGAGGAATCAAATAAATTCGATTTTTCCTGAACTAGACAAAAAACAAAAACATATCATAGGAAATTTCAGATCACGTTCAAAATGGAAAATTGACAACAAAACTATGGAATGATTTTGTTGAAAAACTCTGTGCGGTGCATAGTGAACTTTCAAGTCACGCATGTTTGGCTCAAATGTTTATGTTTTCTTTTTTTCTTGGTTATACGGAAGTTATGGGTTTTGTTTATAGACAGACATAGAGAGAGAGAGTGAGAGAGATAAACGGAATGGCAGTTGGCTTACGCTTACAGTTACGGGGCTACAGATTGTTTATTGATTTACCGACCAGCGAGTACCCAGTACCTCGTACCCAGTACCGGGTATCGTTGGGTCGCCTATGCGGCTGGTGGATTGATGTGAACGAACAAATACCTATTGAAATGCTTGCGAAAGGCGCCGCTCACAAAGTACAGGGCCACGGGATTGGCGCAGCTATTGGCGAAGGACATGCAGTAGGCGACGATGCGCAGGACATGCCAGAACGCATTGTAATCCTCCTGGGCGGTGGGCCTGGAAAAGGAGAGCAGAAAAAAGAATACGGAATTAAAGTCACAAACAGAGACATAAAATGGGGAGTTATACTGGGGTCTCCCATAATGGAGATATCAGCGGGTAAATCGATTGTCCGACGGGTAAACAAGTGTCGGACAAATGGCAACCACATTACTCATACGCAGGACTCTCTCCACCCTCACCGAATCCTTTGAGCCACATGGAGCCATGTGTGTACGCCATATCCTTTGCTGCTGGCAGGTTCCCTTTTATCCGCTTGACAAATTGACTTTCCATCCATTCATTCATGAGCATCAGCAGCAGCAGCAGCACCACCACCACTAAGGACCCCTTCTCTTCCTGTTTAGAAAGCAGAACAGGACGAACACTCACCAGAAGTAGAACCAGAGGAAGAAGACGTGATAGGGGAGAAAGCAAATGCCGAAGATGACAACGAAGGCCAGCACTGTGACGGCCACCTTGCGACGGGCACGAACCTGAAATGAAAACAGAAGCGGAAAGTTATGTTAAGTGATGTGAGAAAAGGAGATCCTGTTACTACAGGACACCGGAGATTTCGATGCTCTTTAAAACAATAAATATAACTTTGAAAAGTTTTCAACTTCATTACGATTCTAGGTCTTCCTGTGGTACCTTACATATAATACTGTTTTCTCTTTATTATTTTAGAGTTTATGAAATTATTTAAAGCTTCTTTATTTAAGTAAAATATATTTGTAAACTTATTAAGTCACTCAGACACACCACTTGCTCTTTGAACTTCTGTCTTATTAAGTTTGAAGAGTAATCTTATTTATTTATTAAGCCAAAGTTCATTTTGTGTTCCTGCCAAGCTTATTACACTCTAATAAATAACATCTTTAGCTAAACTTTTGTGGTAAACGAAACTTTTATAAATACAAAGAATTAAATACAAAAAGAAACCACAAAGAAGGAAAAACTTCTAACAAGAAGGAAATATAATCCCTCACAATTTCACTCCTGATATATTATACTATTGCGCTGTATTTATTTACAAGGAATTTCTATTGATGAGGGAACACATGTTTTTTATGAATTCTTTCCCCTAAAAAAAGTTCCTCAATCTATTTTCCAACCAATTGAGTTGGAATTCCAGAGCGTTGGTCAAGTTAATATGAATATTTTATGCCGCCCAACTGAAAGGGCAAAGTTTTTGCGTACTTTTTATTTTTTCTTTGCTACAGCAGCGAAATAGTTGTGGAAAAACTTTGTAATTCACTTTCATGGAAATTCCTCTTTTTTATAGTTTAGGATTCAATGATTGATTTAAATTATGGATACTTTTTTAGGGGGCATAAATTGAGTTACGTGCCCACCTGCCTCACCTGACGAACGGCTCCCTGGATCTCGCCCGGGACACTGGCCGAATACATGAGATGGAGGGCAATAAGCACGTAGAAGGCAGCGATTACCACCAGGGGTATGGCATAGTAGACCAGGAAGTGCAGCATCACCATGGTCTTGGGATAGTTGGGACCCCACTCCTCCGGATACGGATAGCAGATGACAATGGACTGCTTATTAATACCAAAGTTCTGTTGGGAAAAAAGGAAGTAATATAAATCAGGAAAGGAGAGTATAATATCTACCTTGAGGTTACTGCCCAGCAGGGCTGGCAAGCCGCAGAGTATGGCCAGCAGCCAAATGGAGACTGCAGTGGCCAGGGTCATCCTGGTGGCCCGACGACCGCCTCCTGGAAGAGTTGAATACATTTTTAAAAATATTTAAGACTCCTTTAGGCACTCATAACTCTGATAATTTACCCACCATGAGCATGAAACTTCCTCAAAGGATCCACAATGGCAAAGTAACGATCCCCTGACAGAGCTGTCAGCGTGAAGACCGATACTCCAATGGACACATCCTTCATAAACTCCGACAGGCTGCAGAGGAAGCTGCCAAAGGGCCAGTACTCCACGGTGTAGACAGTGGAGGCCAGGGGCACTGTGGTGATGATAACCAGAAGATCCGCCAGTGCCAGTGATAAAATATAGCTGAAAAAGGGGATTTAAAGTCAGGCTCAAACACCCTTCTCATGGATTTATGCCTCATTTTTTGAGATAAGCAGGCTGCCTGCTCATCCTGTCTTGTCCTTGAAGTGTGATAAAAATGTGGCGCCTTTGCTTGATTTATGTTTGCAAAGTTTTAGGCAAATTTAAAAAAATATATAAAAGAGGATATAGCGACACTTGCAACAACTGCTGACTGTGGAGGGGTAATACAATGACCATTAAAATTGATTTATCTAGCAAAAGCTATGTTAAGTGGGGTAAAGGAGGGGAGTTTGGTAAGTCTCGAATGATTGAAGAACAAAAATTTAATAAATAGTTATTAGGCATAAAGTATGCTATTTATATTATTTTTTATACATTTCCTATATTTAATGAAAGCTAGAAAATAATATTTAAGCACTAGCAAAACTCATTTATTTTCGTTTTAATATAAAAACCCTCATTACTTATGGTTTAAGTATTAAATATTAAAAGAATAATCTAAAGATTGTATTTAATTTCTTAACTTAATCAAAATCCTTCACACCACCCTCGCATTTTCACAAAGACAAAAGAAAGCAAATTTAACTATTTTTGTTTTTGAGCCCTTGGTTGCCTGTGGCACACTTAAGACCACAGTGGCAGCGAATAAATTGCCAACAGTGGCAATTCTGGTCATGATCTCATATAGTAATTTCGCCTTTATCCCAACCTCTCCGCCTCATCCCCCCTCGCGTACCATAAATAAGCTGCATGTGGCACTTTGTTTGCCACGTTCTGGCTTTCAGAGGAAATGCAACACCAAATTACGTTTTTGTGGCTCCCGGGCAAAGCCGATAAGGGTCTCGGTCGTCCTCCGCCTCCGCCTCCGTCCTCCAATCCTCTCGAGAACTTGGCACTTTTAAAGCCAAGTTACCGGAGTAACGAAATGCAATTTCAGCGTAATTTGATCAGTTGACATTCCACCGGTTAGCCTTTGGTGGTGTTGAGTTTTATGTCTCATTGCAGAATCGGATTCATGCGGGGTCCGTGGTCAGCTTTAAGTGGCTAATACATGCGGCTTTAAGTGCCTCCCTATACCAGTTGTGTTGCCAACAATGTGGAATGTTTTAATTGGCCAGAAGCCCCAACGGGCCGCCACAAGGCACAGCATCGCATCTCGTTGCTCTCAGGACGAAGGTCATCGTTTTAATGATGAACTCGTGTCACTAATAAACTTCCTGGTGGAGAGCCAAGCTGTTGCCTCCAAATAGAGTGCTTAAGTTGTTTCACTTTAGTCTTCTGTGCTTGATGCAAGGCCAAGAAAAATTACTAGTAATACGGGTTTTATCTTGCTTACTTAATGAGTATGTATTAAAGGAGAAATCTCTCTCTACAAAAGTATGCTCAAGTATTAATCGAAAATAATGTTTATATTAAATATATTTTTGTGTTATATGATTTAGTTACTTGCTATAAATAAAATGGACTTATTGTGTCCTTAAGAATTTGTACACCCTTGCAAGGATGTTAAATTTGTAATCCTCTTCTCCTTTAAGTCACACACTGCGTATACTTAATTTAAGGAATTTCACATTAAGTATACGCCATGTATGCCCGACAGCTGATCAGCATAACCTAACAAGGTTGCTTTAACTGCTTTGAATTTGAAACTGAATCATTTTTTCAACGTGAAAGTATTTGCAAGGAACATTTACAGAACATTTTAGTTCCAATTTTATACCCTTTGCAGAGTATTCTAATTTCATTCAGAAGCTTAAAAGAAAGTGAAGGAGTAATTTCCGACCCCATAAATCATATATATTCTTCATCAGCATCAACAGGCGAATCTTTCTAGGCATGTAGAAAAGATATTAAATTTTTGCCAATTTTTTTTAAATTTTATAAGGGGTTGTTACATCGTTAAAATTGCCAAAAATTTGAAATTTTTTTACATTTTATATGAAGTATGCAGATTTATTAACCTAATAAAATCTTGCATGGAGCAGCTTTTAAAATTAAAATTAATGATTTTTTGGCTTAGTTATGAGGTTTTTTCGGTTGCAAACTGTGGCTTTTCAAAGTCAGTTTCTTTTCTTGTTATTTTATAAAAAATCTATAGATTTCTGTTTAAGATATTATATTTAATTAATCATAAAAGAAAGGTATAAGCTCAATAATAAAACACCGTGTTATCTAACATCCATTATCAAAAAAGTCAGTAAAAGTAATATCCTTTAATATAACACATCATTGCCTTGAAATGACTTCGTCTAGCTTGAAAATTATCCCAGACTTTGGAGGCGTCTTTAATGTTTTGCCTTGGCTTCCCAGCAAGCCTCATCTCCACTCCCCTGCCACATAAGGTGATTGTCTGTCTGAAAATCATATTTATGCCAGCATGTGTGTAATAACTTGATTTATGGCACAAACACACATAATGTATGCAGTACAAAACTCTTCAAGAGACACAACTAATTAGTTGGCCCAGAACCAAGGAAGAACTCAACAGCTGCCAATCGATCTGCGTGGGTTCCCAGTGAAAGGGAAATTTTAAGCAATTTCCAGGCGGAGGCGGTAACAGCATTACCATTATCATCGCCGGCTGCTTGCCTCCCGTCCTGGCCTGGATGTCACTTAATTAACTGATGGCTTTCGGGGGCCAAAAAAGGGGAAGAAGGAACAATGTTCAGCCAACGCTGCCGTGTTGGCCAACTCGTGACATTTGCCGTTTGCATGCATAATTTGGCGCACACTCATCGCCATCAGGCATATAATTAAATTCAATTTAAGTTTGCCATAAATCAAAAATACATTTTCTAACGAGCTGGGAGGACGAGGAAACGACTAGCTGATGTCCTGGAAAAATTACAGCAAGTATTGCAAGGCTACTATCCCTTATAGCCCAATCCACCCTGCTCTTCTCTGGACCGCACAAACTTTTCCCCTGGACACTCACGTGTTTGGAACATTCCGCATCTGGCGCACACTGAGGAAGACCACAATCAGTGTCCCATTGCCCAGGACACCGACGACGAAGATCAGGGCAAACAGGATGGGCACGATGTAGGTTTCCGGCCTTCGGCCATAGGGCACGTAGGGAGTCTCCGTTGAAGCCATTCCGCTGAGGTTGTCGTTTCCCGAGGTGAAGTCCGAGTCCAGGAGGCTCCACTGCGTGGATGTGGCCAGCATGGCCATGTCCCAAATAGCCTGGGTGATGTTGAGGGGATTCGAGAGTAGAGACTTATCCAGGTCTAGGTCTCGGTCCACATCCCCCTCCGCATTCATGTCCAGTTCCGATTCCATGCTCACCAAATTGCCAGCTATCATTGGGCAGGGGGAATGCTCCTGGTGCTCCTACAGCTGATTCCCTTCGCTTCTGTCTCGTTTAATTTTATTTCTTGCCAACAAAATGGAAATAGTTTAAGCCAACATGATTAATTCATCTCCTTCACGGCTCGTTGGATGCTGCTGCTGCTGCATAACTGCATCTGATTCTCTATTGCGAAGCTGCGAATGGAGGGGAAAAACAATGCAGTTGTAACATTAAATTGATTCAATTTGCTTTCGGTTTTGGTTTAATGGATTCATGTGCAGAAATCCAATTATTTTGTATTAAATTCCGTCTGTCCAAATAGCAAATGTATATATATTTCTGATATTTCTGATGCCATTAAATGGTAGATACAACCCCATATGTTTACTTTTCTGTTTTCGGGGTGCCACCCTGCATATATCTGCCATGAAACTCAATTTATTGTTTTTAATTTGAACAGCAAACACAAGTGTGTATTGTTTTACAGAAAACTTGAAAGTTTCTAAAGCATAGGAAATTGGTAAAAGTAAATTAAAGTTTAATTGCAGTTTGTTGCGAGAGTTTAATTAAGGTTGGACTATGGGCAAGAGTGTGAGGTAATTGTTATTTCAAAGTAATAACAAAAAACAATAAAAATAAATAAATCTAAAATATAGAACTAGAAACTCAACTCACATATGTCTAAAGTATAGATTAAATAATTAAAATCACTAACTATTCCTTTGAAGGATTTGAATATTAAATGCATTTTCCATTCTCATACGAATGCTTAGCTTCCTTTATAATGCATTTGACCAAAACCCTTTATCTTCTCCAATTTAACCTTTGCTCTCCGCTAATTTGTCATTCTGTTTTCTTGATTTCCCCTCAAAAGACACGTGCTAAGTTTCTATTAAATTCAGCAATGTGAAAGGACCCTTAGACTACAACGACGACAAGGAGAAAGAGGGCTTTATGTTACAGATTTATGGCATTAGCGTGGAATTTCTTATCAACTTGATGCTTGCCTTTGCTGCTTGGGCTCCTTGGCAGTCCTGCCAGCGCCAACACTTCAAGGAATGCATATCCTGTCATTACATTTCCAGCCATTAACCACATACTCACACACACATACTCTGAGACAGTGACTCATAAAATGTAACTGACGCCCACAAGAAACTTCAATGGACTTGGAAAGTCCACGCGAAAGAAACACTCAACATTTTGTTGTATTTTTTTGTAAAATAAAGATGATTTGAAGCTAGGAGGATAATATAATTATAAGTAATCATACAAATATAATAAAACTCCCTTTTCCAATCTTCTTTTACTTCATTTCTTTCCCAAGAATTTGCCAACTTTAATCACAATTTTATTTCAATTTTTTCTCGAGTGCATCATGAATCGGGTAAGCAGGGAAAACTCTGCGTAATTGAAATCTGTGCGTTCGTTCGGCTTTGCCTTCTTAGCCCGGGCTGTCATTCCTTTGTAATAAAAATATGAATGGTTTGCCGCCATCTTCTGTCGTTTCCTTGGCCAGGTGGAATGTAAACATCCGGACAAATACCCGTCAGCCGGCGACCTTTCACCTCCTTGCGCCGGTGTGAGGTGCATAAAGTCCGGATGCCATCGAGAATATTATGAGGAAAGTGTAAAAACAGATGCCTTAAAAATCAAATCCGTATGAATGCATAAACACAATTTGCATAAACCAGAAAATTCAACGCCTCTGATGCCACAAAGTTGCCCGAAGTGCTGGGTTCTTGAAGTGAAAATATGCATGAAAAGTTTACTCACAGGAGTTACATTATTTAAATGTGTTTTGTTTTGGCTTGAATACAATTTAATTTAATATTCTAAAGTCAATATTCAATATTCGTTCCGAGAAATTGCTGTTGCTTAAAGAGGGAAAATCTAATTAAGATCCCTGTGGCTGCAATCAGTGGAGAACTACAAGTACTACAAGAAACTTTGCCTTGGTCAACTTCAGGTAAGCAAGAAGGCAAAACTTCTCAGTTAGCTGGAAAATAGTTTTCTACACCAGTATTTGTTTATCAATTTGTGAGAATTAATAAACCATCGCCCATTGTTGTTGTTTTTTGTTAGCTGCAACTTAATAAAAATTGATTTTTAATGAATTTATGACCACAATTAAGTTGGCCGGCTAATTGCCTGTGACATGAAAACCCATAAAAGTCAGGCATTATTAATAGAGAGTGAAATTCAAACCATTTAGTTATCAGAGAAAAAATATGGTATACATGGCGTATGCGTAATAATTTGGTGAATTTATATTTAAGTTGTCTGGCTTGCAGTTGCTTTCAATTAGTTTTAATTGTAGAGCTTAATTGTTAATTTAATAAACCATTCTATAATTGAGGAATACCTTTTCGTTCCTCTTTGATTTAATAACAAAAGTAGTTCTTGTTTTCGTTTTCTATTCAGTGGCCATTTTGCTAAGACTTCATGATACAAATTGAATTAATTTCGCTGTTGTTAACCCTTTTTGGAATGGCTTCCCTCGCAATTTGCGAATATTTTCGAAATGTAAATGAAGTTCGAGAACAAAGAACGAACTAATTAAGTAATTTCAAGGAGTAGCGGAAAATCGTTGGAATATTTTCAACTGAAAAGTCTGCTTGATGAGCCTGTTGAAATGTCAACACTGTCCGCATTGTTTGTCCCTCAACTTAATTAATTTGTTGGCAGAATATTAACGCAGAACCAGTGGAGGATGAGGAGGAGGATCACGGATGTGGTGGTCAGGTTTATTTGCCCAACACTTTGCTAATTGAATTTTGACACCGACACTAACTCTGCCCAATGATAAATTATTCCCTTTAAAGCACCCCAACATGCGTAAATGTCACATGTACTTACAAACATTCAATTCGGAGCCATAAATATCCATGATTCGAACGAAAATTGATCTATTTCGGGATCGCACAGCCATTAGCCCGACAAATAAACCTGTTAGCCTATATCAATAACTGGCTTACATCGCTCCACCAACTCCAAAATAAAATAACTAAGGCGAAAAGTGTCGTGATTTATGACATCGAATGGCCGGCAGAAGTCCGCTTATCTGGTGACCATCTGGACGTCAAATATTTCCAGAGAGTGCTTCTCCCCCATTTTCTTTTTAACTTTTATTTTGTACCCTGTAAATGGGTTTTTACAAAAATTGAGAGAGGTCCTTGGAGTAATAACCTAACATAAATGGTGAAGAACGAAGCATAAAAATCAAAATTACTAAGTGTTCTCTGCAAGTAAAATTTATATAAAATACAACAACTTTTTACCAGTCAATATGAGTAATAGTTTCTGAGATTGATTGCACTATAAGGTCTATTTATAACTTTTAAAATACATTACATCCTAGGATACTTTTCATTCTATATATATTTCTATATAATTACTTGTTATGTATTTTTTTTGTGACTACAAACCCATGAGAGTGCGATTGATAAATCAATGCAATTTATCAGTAGTTCAGCCGCGGACACAACGCCACTTAAAATGCCTCACAACCCACAGATCCCCTGGGAATGGGAACGGGAAAGGGGATAGGACCTCGTCCCATTGGTAGGTGCTAGCCTAACCCACTGGCCAAATTTTTATCGCAGGGCAAACAGCAGTCTGCTCACGTGGCCAAAACGGAGACAGAGAGTGAATGTGGGGAATCGAACCGGGAGTGGGAGTAGGAATCTTATCTGTCAGCCTTTGGGGACTTAGTGCGTCTCATAATAAATGCAGCTAAGTCGCCTGTAAATGTTTGGGATTGTTTTTTGGGTACAAAAGGGCGTAGGGCGTAGGGAAACACACGAATGTTTTGAATAAATAACGCGGTTTTTGGACACTCGCACTCCCCCTGGAAAAACATATACATTTATAACCAACAAAGGAAACCCACCATATTTTCCTCTGATTCTTCAGTGTGGGTGTTCGCTCTTCATGAAAAATATGCGTACAAAGCGAGGCTTTGGGAAAAGATTTGCGATTGCCCATTTGTTTTGTTGCTTGTAATTGAATACCAAGAGTGCGTGCCTGCCCCTTCTTTATTCGTTTTATTTATTTATGCAAACAAAATGTTCAATCATTTATTTGGTGAGCAGAAAAGCTCTGAATAGCTCTGTAATTTTTAATAAAATATTTTAATTTTAGTACTTGGTACAGGTCTTACATTTTACTTTAAGTAGGCTTCTCCTGTTTAAAATGCCAGACAGGATTATAGATATTTAAGTGTCCCCAAATACCAGCATGTTCGGGCATAAAGCAACCACTAAGGAGCGGTCATAAAAAATCAAATTTAAGCGCTCCATAAGCCATTAAAATACATTGTCATAGTTATATTTAATAATTTTTTTCCCCACTCCCTCCCCCTCACATCAGTTGTTCTCGTGTATTATTTGCTATTTTCTCCCTTTTTATGAAACTCGTTTTGCCACTTCGCACTTAATGCAGAGTTGGCAGGAGGGGGGAAAAAAAGTGGATATAGCCATAAACGATGGTGGATCGGTGCGGGATGCTGAGCAATTTCGATTGTCATTATCTAGATAAATTATTTATGTAATCGCTCGGAACCATTATTATTATATTTTGTGAAATTTCTCTAGGTCCTGCGGCAGAAACAATTTTTGTTCCATCCGCAAAAAAGGAAATCGATAGGGAAAATCCAGAGGCGACAATGTTAACAATTTAGCTGAAAAATGTAATAAAATCTGGGGGCGAAAAATAGGCAAATTGCGGCAGAAACTTTGCATTCCCCTATGCTATATGGCGTGTATCCTGACGTATCCTCTCGCATATCCTTTAATAAGAGGTTGGCTTGCCGACAACGCAATTAGATTTTGTGCCGTCTCCCTTCGGTTCGGAGGGCGCAATTAGAGTGCATTACAATGTCTGAATGTGAACTTTAGTTTGTCGACAAAAACAAAAGCATTCGCAATTGTCTGACAACTTTTTGCCATACAAAAAATACACTGAAATTACCATTTTGCATATGAATGTCCTTTTATTCTAAGAACAAAGCCTTTGATTTAGAGATCAAGTAATTATCAATTCCTAATTTTTGAGGTATTCTTTTAATTTTCAAACATATTTCAATATATCTACAACTTTTGTTGGAACTTGGAATGAGACTTAAACATTAATTTATTCCAGAAAGAAGCACTTTTAAATGGTTTTATATTTTACAAACTAATTTTCTAAGAGT